CCTATATTTTCAGGATTTACCAACATGAGCAAAGTTTTAGACTCTTCTAATTGTAATGCATTTTTAAAAAAAACTAAATTAACGCAGATCAAGGGTGTTAAATGTGTTAAATGTCACCTTTATGGTCAATATGCCCTGTGTACCTGATGCTGCTCAGAGTACCCCCAGTGCTGCTCAGCGTGCCGCTCTTTTACTGGTGGTCACTGGGAGCATTGTTTCTTACATTGCAGATTAGTGGACTAAGGATCAGCAGACGAGGGGGAAGGGGAGGACTCTGAGATGTAAATATTGGCCATCACAGCAATCACATGGCACAGAGCCGCTTCAATTGGCTGTGTGCATTTTTCCTGTATTCTGACCTGTCTGACAGCTTGATCACAAGCATTCAAAGGGCACACTGTCAACAAGTGTGTTTTTTCTGCAGTACTATTTATAAACAGTGCTCCAGAAAAATGAGTTCACCCCTTTTTACTATATGGTGGTAGTGGGGGGGTTAATGTGTATTACCCTCCACCCCTTAGGAAGGTGCAATTGGTTGTAAACACCATGTCGCAGCAAAATGTAGAGGTCTTAATCCAGCCTTATATATCCCATATGCCTCCTGACACTGAATAGGTGAGAACAAGCAAATATGTAGAACCCCACTTGCTCCACGTTCTCAGTTCTGCTGTCCGTGTTTCTACATCGTATAGTGCAGTCCTACAGACAAGCCTTAAGGTAATGTGTATGGATTTTGTACATATGTATGTTCTGTTTTTCTTAGGGCTGGTGCACACCTAGGCGACTCCTGAGCGCGTGGCAATCGTGCACAATATCGCACGGATTGCCGTGCGGTCATTGAGTCGTCCAGCCCAGACAGTTGCGCTGTGGGTGCATTATTTTTTAATGGCACCCCAGTCGCGCCGGGTGGATCACGCGGTTTCCCGACACGATTCCACCTGTGCATCCGAACACCAAAACAACCGCGCGTCGTGTATCACAAAAAAAATGCATGTACCTTATTCCTGCATTTCCGTGCGGATGTCACCCCATTTAAATCAACCCAGGTCTGCACCGGGCCTCAAGGTCAGGACTAAAAAAAAAAAAAAAACGAAAACAAAATGTACTTTTCTATATGATTAGCAGATGAAGCTCTAGTGTCCTTTTTACACAGTTGGTTATTTCGGCTTTGCTGATTGAAGGTGATGTACATTTACTAGGTAGTTCTTGCAAGTCGATCGATGACTAGGGGGGGCAGAAGCTTTAGGAGGACAGATCCTGCCTCAAAGCAGGCTGTTTCCACTCTTCTGTCTCCTGACCTAGTCCATAGTGCTCTCTCATGTCTTTGTTTTGTGTTAATTATTTATCTCTAAAACAAAGATTGTATACATGTGGAAAAAAAAAATATTCAATAAATGAAACTTAAAAATAAATTAAATTGATCCCAAAACCATTATGGTTCTTTTTTCAAATAAATGTAAACCGGAACAATTAACCTTTTCTGTTTGCTTTCTTTTGTTCTGATAAATATATCATTAGAATCATTTTGTTATATCTGTTCATTAAGTACCAATACCCATTGATGCTGCCAGAAATCCAATGCTGTCCTGTGCGCTCTGTAATGTTATCTCAAACGAAATTATCTAAGAAGTATGCTAGGACTACAGAACACCTACTCCCATGTTGTAGAGGAGAGCGGGGCTGTTCTGTTGTCCTAACACACTTTCTAAAAATGCTGCTCCCCCACAGATCTAGTACAATGAATGAGTGTTATCACCCTAAGACAGAAAGTTACTGGCAGGATCACCAGGTGGAAATAAAAACTTGAAAAAGCAAAAGTAGTGCGGCCACCACATTTAAGGGCTAGTAAGCTGCTATGTATTACAGTTTTGTTCTTGGGAGTTAATACACTTTAATGAGATCAGAGTCTTTCTTGTCACATACATGTCTTACTTTTTTTTTCTTGTTTTGTTCTCTGTTTGCAGGACTTTCTTATGGAAACATTCATCATGTTTAAGAACCTGATTGGGAAGAATGTGTACCCCTCAGACTGGGTTATAATGAACATGATGCAGAACAAGTGAGTCCTGAATATTAAACATTGAAATATATTGTGCCTATGTTGTTGCAGTGTTGAGTGTGATATGAAAAGTATGTAATTGTACAATCTCTCAATGGGTTGGAGCTGCACACCCACATGTCTTCTATTGACATGCATGAGAAGACCTTCTAAACTTTTATATGAAAAATCTTATGAGAAAATTTGACAAAGCCATCCCAAAGCTACCCCCACACTGCAAGGGTTAAATGCTCTGTTTTGTCAAGGGGGCTTCTCTAAAATTGTTTTACTTCGCTGAGCCCCACTCCCCCAACAGTTGGCCCTCACCTCTCTCCCCCCTGCACTGGCTGCAGAATGTCTTTCCGCATCCTCACGTCTACTGTTGAGCTGTGGACCTTGCATTAGAGGTGATGACATCAGCGGAACTTCCGGCCGCCGGAGCAGAGGGAGGAAGAGGTTCCAGTTCTGGTCTTGGAGCCATTGGGAGCTGGAATCAGGTAAGTAAGAGTCCTTTTTACACCTCCCATAAACAAAAACAAGCAGTAAAACCTTGCAGGTGGGTGGTAGCCCCACTGCAAAGGGAATCATTCTTTCTTTTATCTGGGCATCAGCTTTTAGTGAAGGACGATGTTTCATGCCCACAGATTATTGTAAGTGATGCTCTCTGGTATATTGGCATTCGAAAAGACAAAAGTCAGGCATTCAGTATATATACTCTAAATGGACTTCCCTGGAGCCAGAATGTTTTATCACCTGCTATAACGCCAACTTTTACTTGATACTGAATATTTAATTCCAAGCTTGAAAGATGTATATCCTCAGTGTGGTTACCTTTATAAAATACAGATGCACTGCAGCTTTTTACTGGAACGGCTTCGCAGCTGATGTCTTCCAATACATCTCTACTTATCATTAAAGTGACAAAGTTAAAAATAAATTTCCATCCCTTAAATGATGTCTCTTAATCCGATCTTCCTCTTCTTTCCTGATGTTTTAATCTGTCCCTCCAGCGGTGCGGCGGCTCTCCGATCCGGCGCTGACTCCTCTGTCCCTGCAGGCACTTCCGATATGAATGCGTCCACAGACCTACCTTCGCTCGTCTCCCGGCCGTAAACCTGAACTGCGCGTAGACACGATGTGTCTACGCGCAGACGCGCAGATGCTTTGCGGCTGCCTGGGCAGTTTCGGGTTCTAGGGCGGGAGCGCGCGGCGAAAATGGGGTAAATTTAAAAGGCTGTTAAAGCGTTTTTGTTTTTTTTTAACTTTTTGCATATATTTACTGCTTGCTAGTAGTAGATATAGGCAAAAAAACAGAGGGTTTAAAACCCCTTTAAGCAGAGTCCCAAGATTTAATGAGAGCACTGAACGCCTTGCTGTCATTGCATTTATGTTGGTGGGAGTCGGGGTATTTTGTTTATATTAACTCTAAACTGAACGGATCTGTCACACATAAGAGTCAGTTTATATGTGACATTGTGTCAGCCTGTTTGCCATTATCCTATTTTTTATGCCACTGTGTAACAGTCCCTGCATGTTTTCATTATATGTGGGTGTTATAAGGTGGAATTTAAAAATTAACCAGATGAATCAATATAGAAACATCAACTTGGTCCATATTGAACTATGTGTAATACACTGTGCTCTTCCTTTGTATTGCATTCTAATAATCCTTTGCACAGCAGTTGAAATTGGAGCAGGTTGACCAGTAGGAGCCCACATTTACACTTGAGGATGAGCGTTTCCAGGCTTGACAATTTGTTGTTTTAGCCAATGAAAATCTAGTTACTAGGAGGAGATAGTTGTTAGATACGAAATTGTGCAAAATTGCACCTTTTTCATGTGTTTTTCATGCATGCTTATTTCAATTATTATTATTATACAGGATTTATATAGCTCCAACAGTTTGTGCAGCGTTTTACAATATAAGGGAGACATTACAATACAATTCAAGACAAGATGTTAAGGAGGGCCCTGCCTGTGAGGGCTTACAATCAAAAATGGAGGGGCAAGTGATACATGAGGAGGTAGCTGTGTGGGGATGGATTGTTTGATAAAGAGTTCAGTGGTTAGTTTGAAGTGTGATAGGGTTCGCTGAAGAGATGAGTCTTTAGCGATCCCCAAAAGGCAGTCAGAGTAGGAGATAGACAGGTTGGGGTAAGGAGTTCCAAAGAATGGGAGAGACTCTGGAGAAGTCCTAGAGGCGAGCATTGAGGTCTATAGAACCAAAAAGGTGTGATTCTGCCCCCCAAAAAAGCTCATGTGCTTTTTTTCAGCTGCAAGTGATACAATGCTCAGCTGTGAGTGGGCACCATTGAATATCATAGGATTCTTCATGTTGTGCGTTGTCACACTTTGGAAAATACGCACAAAAAAACAGGCTGGTGTGCAGGCTGGTTAACGTAACACTGAAGACAAAAACTCTTTTTTTTATTTGGATAGAGTAAGGGAGGGTTATAACCCATGTCATTTTTGTGCCCTCTGTGTGCTATTGACGAGATTTCCCTTCACTTCACGTTTGATAGCTACAACAGGAAGTGAAAGGAATTCTTGGTGATGAGCAGGGTCACCAGTGTCCCCACTGGAAGATGTTTTGGCTTTAGTTGCACTTTAAGGTTCATAGACGAGAAGTTTATTTTATCTCTGTTATATTATTTTATATGTATACGCACTGGCAGCAAAATTTATGGTACCTTTTCAGAATCAATTAATACTACATTTTAATAGTTCTACCTCTTTATGCCCAAGTGTTTTTTGGAGTGGTACTATATCAGCTTAAAAGATACAGAATGTATTTTAAGGATAGTGCATTAGTAAGCAATTTTGCAAACCAGGTATCATATTTTATTATCTTAATTTTAGAAACCGCACAGGTTTTTAAAAATGTTTTCTATTTTTTTTAATGCAAACTATGCAAACAAGCATATAGACCCCCGTTCACTTCATGTTTTATGTATATTACTTCCCAATTAAAATCCAAGTACCCTGCCAAGACCTTAATTGAACCGTTCTTTAGGACATAGGTTAGAACTCTGCAAGTGTAGCAATTGTATCCTGTGACAGATGACCAATATGTTACCTTGTATATGGTTTAGTTGCGGTTTTGAAACTGCCTGTAAAGTGCAGGTTACACAGTCCTGGTCAGTAAGACATTGAGTGGCATGCAAAGTGAGGTAACTCATTGCTGCCTATTAATAATAATGCATTGCTTAGTAAGGGCTCATGCACATGGATGCAAATACAGGTGTATGGACGTGAAGAGTAAAATAAGCCTGTATGTGTAGTGCCCGGAGCCCCAGCTGCTGCATTTTTGTGCTTATAGGAACGTATTAACAGAATACGAATTAAGTGGTTATACGTGTCTACGCCAGTACTTCAGCTTACACTTGCATACATAAGGCACCACATTTCAGAACAGATTCAACAAGAAAAAAAATGCTTGATTCCCTCATATATACTAAACAGCATGAGTGGGGGAATCCCCCTCCCGGGTTATTGAATTCTGACATGATAGTTCATCATGAAAGCAAGCTTGGAGCAGTGACTACTTTACAACACACACAGGGAGTACGGGAACACAAGTAGCCACCCTCCAGAAGGAAGGACAGTGTCAGCACCAATTCAGAAATGATTTGAAGATCTACAGCCGAGTGATGCACTTATAAGCTACATTTTTGTTAATAATTAAGGTACTTGAATGCATTTTTAGGTTTTAACTTCTAAGTTTACTGTCACTTTAAAAGAAAAATTCCAATCATCTATAATAGGCTGTTCCTGCAAAGGGTTCTGGGAGGACAACCGCTACTGGGCCTATGAGGTCTGGAGGCCCAAATCTGACTTCTTGAAAAACAAGTTGGCAATGTTAGCTGCAGTATTTCTATGCGCACTTTTGGGTGTTTGTTGTCCATGGAGTGACTTCGGAAGTACACTTGTCAAGACAGACATGTGAGCTGCCATTGGTGGCCTCCTTTTGCAAGTGCTAAATACCTGGTTGAGTTTTGGTTCACAAATCTGGAGCAGGGACCCGGGAAAAGAAATTCCAGGAAAAAGTCAGAGTTCCTTATTTTTATACCTTTTCTAGGTTAGTAAATATTAAAAGTATTGAAGAGAATCCACACACTAACATTTGTAACATTTTCAGAAGAAATAGTCAACAATGGTAGTCTTCATTTCAAGTAGTAGGAAGTATTATTTATGTTGCTAAACATCCCCCCCGGATCATTTCAAATGAATGGCATTCCAAATCGCATCAGTTTGATAATGGTCTAAAACTTGTGCTGTTGTCTTTGAATGTTTCCGCTCTTTATATAAACAGAATTGCCGCTTAGTCTCCCTGCTCTTTTAGCTTTGTGAAATGTAACACAGCAGCTATGCCCCACACATACTAAGTTTGCAAATTCCAAATAACCGGTGTAGAAAACAAATTGCTATAGTCATATGTTGCTTGTTTCCAGCCTTGCAAAGTCATGATAATGAATATTGATGCAATGTTTGTTGTCATACATCATTACCAACAATAGTTTTTTGAAGAAAAGCATATTTCTCAAGCCTTGACGACACCAGTGATTTATGAGACCTACAACAAAGCTACTTCCTTCAAGCGGAGCTGATTATGGAGCCTGAGAGCAAGCTGCAGATGTGTCAACGTTAACAGTGGGGCTTATAGGGCGGGGGCTGTAATAATAACAAAATATTTTGGTTAGATTTAAACAGCCATTCTTCCATGAATGGAATTTCAGTTATAGCCCCTTAGGTCCTTCAAGACGTCTAGCAGCCAGATCTCTTGCTGAAATTTCCAACTGACTAAAGTTTTTTAACAAAGAAAAAAACTTTAACAAATCAATATGTTAATATTTCATACATGTTTATATGGTCGCTCCCACTGACTTCCTGCAGGAAGCTGCTAGTTATTTGGTCTTGTGGCTGTCTTTCATATAGGGGTCTTTTACTGTGGGCCTGACATGCTTCTCTGAGGTGCATGCATGAACCATCTGCTGGCCTAAATAGGAGACTGCAGCATAGGC